CCCTAAACCCCTGAACCCTAGAAACCATGCCATGAAGACACCAGCATGCGACAATGGGACCAGATCAAAGGATTCAGTGCTGTGGGGCTGGCTTTCCTAGACCCAGGACTCTACCACCATGTATTGGATACCCAATTTTTATGGTAAGGACCCTTTCAGAAGAAAAGCAGGGTGCGCAAACACGACAGTGTGCCTTTACGGGTTTCTGCCGCAGTTTCTTTGTCCCATGTCCGGTCTTCTAACCTAACAGAACACATAGGGTTAGGGTTTAGGGTTCAGGGTTCAGGGTTTAGGGTTTAGGGTTTAGGGTTTAGGGGTTTAGGGCTTAGGGTTTAGTTGCGGGCAGGAGCAGGATACGAAGCTATCCTGTAGAATCAAAAAAGTTTCCCCAAGCCTTGTGAAAGGAACCTCCTAGGAAGCTTTCTGCAGCCCTCAGTTAGACACTTAACGGAAGCCACATGGAAGACCCTACTTAGAGGATCATGGGACTTAGTAAGTAGGGTTATAACTAAGGAAAGTATACTTATAGCCCCAATTAGGGGACTTATAACCTTACTTACTAAGTCCCATGATCCTCCAAGTAACGGTTGGCCGCAAGATCCTCTTAGCTTGAGACTCCTCAAACCTGCACTCCCAGTTTTTAGGTTTAGGGCTTAGGGATGTGGCTGCATCCTAGATATTCGAAGTGTAGGTCTGTAACCGACCACAAAGGTCCAACGGCACCTTATTAGGGCCCTGTCAGACAGCTGCCATACTTTCAGGCTTTCTTGCAATGTTGCTGTTTAAGGCCTATGGGTTCAGTTAACCGTATAGTGCCTTATGGTGAGGAGCCCACCTTAAACAAAGCAATTAACCGAAAACATGCTACGATGCAGACTATACCTAAACCCTAAACCCTAAACCCTAAACCCTAAACCCTAAACAGTAAACCTCAAAGCCGTGGGTCCAGCTGCGTGGCGGAGACTTGCGTCTGGCAGATAGGACGTTGAGGAATTTGCCTAAACACTGAACCTTACCTTAACCTACCAGAACCTACTTTTTTGTAGGGTCCCTATAAATCCCATATTAGGGTTTACAATAAGAATCTACAAAAAAGTGGGTTATGGTAGGTTAAGGTAAACCCTAAACCCTAAACCCTTTGACCCTAAACCCCAAACGATAAACCCTAAGTCGTGGGAAAGATGTCTGTATCTGAGGTAGGAACTAAAAGGATATTGGGTTCGGCGTCTGGGGGTTCAAAGGCTCAGGCTTAAGGGGTGTAGCGTCACAGGGTTGAGTTAGGTGTATAGAAGCAGGGGAGAGCAAGAACCCTGACGGTAATGATGGTCGTAATAGTTTAATAGTTGGCATCGTGGCAGTGGGCGTTCCTGTTGGTGCCTTTTTGTCCGGTCTCGTCGGTGTTGTGGCGGCAGCAGCAAGAATACGAATGAGCAACACACTGGTAGTGGCGCGGAAAGACTACCAACAGACTGATACTTTTTGACTTTAGCTGGGCATCCAGAAACACGTACTGAAATCAGAAGGACATTGGAAAGGTACAGGCATGTTACTTCGTACAATCACGATACACCTAAACCCGAGAGCCAGAGCTCTAAACTGCTGCTCTTGCTATCCTGTACACATGCACGGCAATCCCAAGTAGACATGCCAGGGCTTAAGGCGCAGGTAGGGTTTAGAATTCAGGGACTAAACCCTACACCCTAAACCTGGGATCGGTTCAGAACGCAGGCTCTTGATGTATCAGGACTCAGGGTTCGGGGTTGAATTGGAATCAAGGCGGTCTAGTCTTAAGGCTCTTCTGAAATTCTCATGGAACCCTCATAAAATCGCATATAATTACTCAAACCCTTTCCCCTAAACCCTCATAGAAACTCCTCGTAGAATCTCATATAAGCCCTAAACCCTCATAGCATCTCATAAGATTCCTTTAATTCAGGCGTCGGAGTTCTAGGGTGACGGCCTTGGTCGGATGTCCTGTGTCTATGGAAACCTGATCTCCACACGATGGTGACTTGAAAAAATCACTCGCGCGGCCATCTTCCCACCCTAAACCCTAAACCCTAAACCCTAAACCCTAAACCCTAAACCCTAAACCCTAACCCTAAGCCCTAAACCCTAAACCCTAAACCCTAAACCGCAGTGGGCTCAGTTGAGGGAACCGCCACGCGTTCCGCGTGGGCCGTGGCCAGCTGAGACAAGTCGGTTTAGGGTTTAGGGT